TTCTCCTCTTCTCTACTTTCGTTAATTCGCTATTCAATCAACCCTTTTCTTCATATTACTGTCTTAACGTCCTCGGTGGTATATGTCAAGAGCGGTATGGTTTGCATGGCATATGAGACACGTTTTGTTTCGGATCTTTACTCAGGCGTTCAGCATTTGGAATTTTGGTCTTGGCGCATAGCATCAACGGGTATCTGGGCGCTTCACTTTTTGAAGAGTTTTTGCCATTGTTCTACACGGTAGATGGTAGCGGTAGTCAATACAGAAGAATATCCACATTACTAGTCCACATCTTCAAGACACTTCATCATGGTATGGACTTTCAACGAGCATACCCTTGACGACCACATGTTCCTGACATTTCGCTTACGCCTGATATTTGCCTAATGCAGGTGTTTAAGCGAGCATGTCAAACAGGACTTCCTCTCCTTTACCTTTTGTGAACTTCCTCTTGTCCGTAGTATAATATCAAAGGTATGTTAAGACACTTCAGACTTGGACGTGAAGACACTCACACAGTCTGGAGTTTGACCACGGCATCAACGACAACGCGACCTTTTTCCACCTTCGCACACTCGAGCAAAGAACTCCTTGCGCACAATCAACCTCTTACTCACATTTACCCGCTGATGAGCTGATTCCTCGTCCAAATAACTAATCTGACAGCGGCAGCCTTGCTTCCAAGGCCCGCCCATAACAGCCAACGGTGCTAAAACCCCAAGGCACAGAACACCACATCACGGAACTTACCAAGCGAACGCGAACGCGCCTCTGAACCATCTGTCCTTTTTCAACCTAGCATACCGTTGTAATCGTCGGATGATTTCCTTCTTTACCGCTGCCGTTGTCGCTGCCGTACTGGTACCGGTGGGTGCGGTGAAGCCTGACTCGTCGCGTGTTTGGTAGGTGAAACGTTTGGGACCGCACTAGTTGGCTTTGCGCGGCACAACGGTTTGGTAACGGCGGGCGTGGGCGTCAGATGCACCTGTCAAGATCGTGTGTGCGTGTAGACGGCGATTTCGCTTTGACGCTGTTCGCACACGACATACTCGGAGTGCGAAACGGTAGAGTGGAAAGTTGACGTGGTGTTGGTGGGTTTTCGCACACGTAAGCAGGGGTGCATGCAATACACGCGTGTGTCGTCTTCGGCGATGTGCATATAGACAGCCTCGTCATAGACCGGAGTAGGACCATGAGAATTCCAAATCACAACCATCTTACTAAGAGACGCGACGGGTTTGCGAGAGAGAGAAAAAAATCGGCATCCCGTGTTCCTATTCTTGTTGCTGGTCTGACGCTCGACCCCATGTCAGCCCTGCGCATCTCCCGCCCATCCCGCGAACGTCATTTGACTCGCATCCCACCGATCCTAACGCACAACGCCACAGCCCGTCCATCCGTCCAACTAGACGGCATCCCAGCCATCTACATAGTACCAGTGCTCTGTTGCTAATTTCCCGATATTCATGCCTTGCTGCCTTACCCTTCCTCCATGATCCCTTTCCTGTGCCCCCCCCCCTGTAAACACGCCATCTCATCGACCAGAGATCCTCCCTCATCCCCACCACTCCCCCTAGCTTGGAACCAAACGAGTCAATTTCCATGTCCCCGGTCAGCGCATATGCCGAAGTCCTAATGCAGATCTACGCTCCGGCAAGTGTCAGGGATGTGCGTTGGATTCCGGTCCAGTGGAGTCGGTCAGGGTCGCATTGGCGGTATTCATGCGAACTGGGTTTGAGACCTGGTGGGGATCTGTGAGCGCCTTAGTTTCGAGGCGCATAACTGTGGCGTGTGAGCGATGGATGCGCGCGATGGATTCGCATGCCTTGTAGGGCTGATAGAATCTGTGTATGCATGGCTGAGGGGGAAGATGACGTCGCAGGCTGAAGCCGTGGGTTCGGTCATATCCGCGACATGCATGAGTGAGGGGTTCTGGAAGTGTGACCGAAGGTCTGGTGGTGCATAAGGCGATAGGAAAGCCTGCGTCGGTGTAGTCGCCTAATGCGTGTGTAACGCGTGACTCCCAAAGGATTGTGTCGGACCGTAGAGTCGTTGGGTCAGCTGACTCTCGTGACTGTATCAACGTAATCGTTGTGGCTATCTGGGGTGATGTTTGGCCGACAGTACTCCCGAGGGGACCACGGCTGCACTGTGCTTGCGGCCCTTCTTCATCAGGGGTTGGACTCTGCGACTGTCTCCCCCGCCCCTTCCTGACCAGCCTCGTTGTCCGGTTGCGACCCTCTTCTGTCTTCGGGATCTTGGTCGCCCTTTCCACCATTCTTTTGTTGCTCGCCACTTGATTCAATGTCATCTCTCAGCTCTGCCTCTTCTTGTGGGTTTTCTGTGCCCCTCGAGCTGTACTCTTGATCCATGCGATGCATCAACTCTTCGCCGGGTAGAAGAATGCTTCTGTCGATCGCCAAAGGTAGTCCACGATGTCTACCACGTAGCATAGCAGCCATTAAGACGACTTTGCTCAAGCTGGCAAAGTCGCCGCATAGACTGGTGTTCTTTCCCGGTACACCGAGGCTCAAGCCGACAGTGCCATATGCCGATGTGACTTCGAATAATATCGAAAAGATGCTGAATCCTGGTGATGCGTTCAGGATGTGACCTCGCTCAATTATACATATGAGAAAGAAGACAAAGAACTGGAACCAGATGTCGTAGGCGAGCTGCTTTTGCAAGTGTGATGCTACGCCAGCAGCACTGCTATCATTCTCTTCCAGACCGATCGATTTCTCCTCGTACGTGTTCGTCTTCCGCAGTACCAACGTCATGGGGTAGATCGAGATGTACATGATGACTAAATAAGCCACCAAGCATGCGGGCGCGAGCGAACTCATGTTGATGATGTATGCGCCGCTAGTACGTAGTCCACTGGCCATGAAGAGTCCGTCTACTACTCTAGCGCCAGTGGATAGAGCTTCAACATCTGGCATGCCGATGTTCAATATCTCGAAGCAAAGCCAGGCAGTGATATCGATACCGAGCTGAACAAGAAAGAGGTATACTGTCTCGCGCTTGGGGAAAAGGTATATGAAACATCGTCGTGGATGCTGTAGAAGGAATTGCATCGTGTTTCTGATGCGAGACTCTTTTGGCAGTATCTTCTTCAATACCCATATCGTGATGCGGAGTAAAATCGGAAACTGCGTCTGACCAGCGAAGGCCAAACATGCGGCCACAAGCAAAACATATGCATTGCCGCTGAAGGGAACGAAGTTAGCGTTGAGTACGTTGAGTCCACCGTTCGAGAATTCCGTCACCGTCGCAAAGTATGCCCACCATCCTGGGTTGATGGCACCTGGCTGCTCTTGATACAATGTGCTTTTGGTATCGTTGCGATATGCGTACGGTATCAGGAAAGTGATACCAAGCAGGTACCAGAAGATCTGATAGCCCACCAGGATGAGCAACAGAGCTTGGAGTGCGCGATACTCCACACCCCCAAGTTCCATGCGATCTTGCTCACTGAGCTCGCGGAATCGACCCTTGGAGTCGAGATGCGGCTTGAAGGAGACGTAGTCGTGTTTCTCGGGTTTCAACTCTGTCGAAAAGCGATCCAGTATGCGGCTGAAGAAGTTGCGTGCGGACTTGATTTCCCAGGGTGTTGGTATGAAGCCAAATCCGGTCTCGTAATGATATGTGCGTCTTCTAGACTTTGGATACATCTTTGCTTGCGGCGGCTCCTCGTTTTCTTCTTGTACTTTCTTTGCTGCCTGGTTTTGTTTTCCGTTCGATCGCTGACGCAGGCTTCCGGTACTGCTGCTGCTTTCTGCTTGATCCGAATGACTGTTCCCGATATCTTGCACGAGTCTTTGCATCGTGTGCGAATGTTTGACGACATCTGCCATCTTCTTCCGGAACAGTGCTCTTCTGATGAGTACCACTGCTGTCGATACAAATGGTATGTTGCCAATCATTAGCAGCACGGCAAAGGTCGCTTGCTGGAAGCCGGAGAGATCTCCGAGGTCTACCGAATTGAGCCCTGCATCGATTAGTATTCGGCTCACACCAGCCCAGAGAGCGAGGAAGACCCTTACCTGTAGTTGTCATAGCACTGGTGCACAAGAACAGCGCGTCGGTGTACGTCACATGCGCATCTCCATACTCTTTGGGCCCATCAGCAAGACCCTGCCCGTAAACAACAACCGATGAGATCGCGATGACGACGATGAAATACAGCATATGCGCGCGATAAAAGTTCAGCTTCAACACCTCCTCTTTCAAATACTTCAAAAAGTCATCTTTGGCCTGACGCGGGTTGCGCAGCTCCTCAATCGGGTCGTGCATCGCGTCGTTGTCGTCGAGCGGCAACCACGACGAGCTCATTCCGGCTGCAGTCGCAATGTATATACTTTGCGGTATTTGTCCAAGACGCGTACCAAGAGAAGCGCGGATCAACGTGGCAGATCTGGATAGCGCAACCTTGTCAGAAGTAGGCTGTGTTTAGCTGCGCTGCCCAGGCATTTTCGCGAGGGATGATGTCACTGACCGTCAAGCACGAACCTTATCGCGCGTGGGGAACGACGCATCATCGTGGACGCGACAACATTGATCTTCAGGTCCGCGGCGTTCTCAATTGGCTTGCTGTACTGAACGGTGAGTCGTTGGCAGATTGTAAGTTGTTTCCGTGCCGGTCCGGAGATGTTGTGATGAGAGCCTGGATTTGTCGTGCGATGAGGTCCGTCCCTGGCATATTACTAGGATCATCCATAGCGAACTACGTCTGACGGCCGTATATGTGCGCTGTCACCGCCCCCTACGTTGCATTCTGTATTCCTTGTTGTGATCTCGAAGTGCTCGATGAGGAAAATCCAATCATACGTTGGAACGCGGTATATGGAAGGACAGGTCATGATGTTGAATTGGAATTGACCGAGACAAACGTACCTACTAAATCAGTGAAAGAACTGTTTACGCAAATGCGTAAACTAGCTCGGCACCACACTGCGCAAAACACCATACTGGAGCTCTACCACCACGCCAATACCCTCCTACTCTGAGCACATAACAACTTTACCCTCCTCAAACACCACACCCTTCTCCCTCATCTCCTTCTCTTGCTCCTTACCAATCACCCTCCCCTCCCCATCAACCCTCTCAAACACCACCCCCACGCGACTCAACTTGAGATGACTCCACATCCTCGCCGACTCACTCCAACCCCCCAACGCCCCAAAACACGCACTAATCCCCACAATCTGCTCTCCACCCACCGCCTTCCTCACAAACCAATCGCGCATATCCGGCTCCCCAAAGTAGCCAACCCGACCACTCTGCGTAACCAGTTTGAGAGCGCGGTACTGCTGCTCGACGTGGACTTCAGTGATGATTTCTTGGTTCAGCGGGAAAGTGACGGTGTTTTGTTGTTGGTAAGGGTGTGGACCGCCGCCTGTCTTTTGCAGATCTTCCCATGCGGCTTTGAGGGATTCTCGGAGAGGCTCAGTCATGTCGTGCGCCCATTTGGGGGATTGACATAGGACGGGTCCGCGAGAGCCGACGCTGCGGCCGCGATTACCCCACATGTCATGAGGGCCGGGGTTCATGCCGACGATGTCAATACCGGTGTGGAGTTGGTAGGACGGTGACGACGTGTTGGTTGCAGGAAGAGAGCTGGGTAGAGCAGTCGTTGCGGGTGTTGCGCTGGTCGATTGCATGGAGATACTCGTTGCAACGGGCTGAAAGCATTCAATACCTGTGTTTTTCTTGCTCCACATGAACACATCGTTGGGCATCATATCCTCGGGGAGTTCGTATGGTATGGGGTGAATGGGAGTGGGGAAGGACTCGAAATGGATCGTAGGATGCGCCCAGACTGAAGCCTGTTGAGGATACCTTTGACCAATACGGTCGTAGGGTAGCGATGATCCAAGCTTTCCCCATGTCATCTGCTGAACGGATGTGTATCGCGGCTGAGCGAGTGGTGCTGAGTCCGGTCTGCATGCTTGAAGAAGACCGAGACGTGAGATAGCTCCATTCTTGCAATGAGGTCAGTAGATGCCTGTAGAGTAGCGCAGACGGCTGCAGCATTTGGCAACTCACCGAAGCAATTTGTCCCGTCATTCCTACTAAATGCATGCCATCCAGCACTTGGAACGGCCTCCGCACACCAGCGTAACTCTGGTGCAAGCCTTTTTCTCTCCCACTATTCAGTGTCACCTACTTCTAATTAGTATAGTTTTCTTCGGAGATGGTGAGCCCAGCGTACAGAGATACCGCTGATCATAGCAGTTTTGGATGGCCAAGGATCCTCAGGCTTCCCATGAGGCCCGGTCTGATTCACAATATCTTCGATACAGCAGACGATCTCCTTGATCCACTCCCCACGATCAAGATGAAACGGAAGTCCAGTAAATCCATCAGAGCTGCCAAAAAGTCTTTTTTGGTCACCCAGGGTGACGGAAATTCCCACTAAGTAGTCGTGGGAGTTGTTAATCTGGCGCCAGTAGGTGTCCAAAACGCAAGCACGATGAGTGATCTCATTCCAAGAGTGAATAAACTGTGCCGACACGGTCTCGGTCTGAGCTGGCGGGGGATACATGGTCATGGGCATGTGCAAGCATACGGAGCTGTCTAGAATCGCCTTTGCTTCCTCTGAGTCTGCCGGCTCAGCGGGCTCGACCGGCCCAGTTGCTTTCTTGTAGAGCGAGGCTACTGGCTGGCAGCAGCCCCAGATCCGGCGTCGATTTGCTATGTGCATGAGGGGTCCCTGGATGCCGAACCTGGGACGAGTCGATGCATCCACCCAGAGAAAAAGACCTTTATAGTCGAGCGCATCGGTGGTCGCAGTCTCCACGAAGTAACGCAACTCGTAGAACCATGGCAATACACGCATGCGTACCATATGTTTCCAGAATGCGGCTTCGCGAGTAACGCTGTTGACGTGATACGAAGCTTGCATGAGCGAAAGCATGTCTTTGGAGTCAACATATCCAAGGATTTCGAGAAGCAAGTCGTACGGGAGGACTTCAATTGGATCCCTTCGCACCTTGTGCGCTAGATCTGCCAACTGCGGACTCCCACCGAAAATGTTGGCGGGTAGGATGTCTTGTATACTTTCTTGGAGAGCAGGTCGGGGGGAAGGATCGCACACTTCATACTCCGATCCCGCTCCATTATGCCAAAATTGCTCGTTGCCCGAAAAGACCTGATAGTCCACATCCAAAACTGGTCTTTCGCTTGCAAGAAGAGCGCTAAACGTTCTCAACATCACATGCTTATTAATATCTCTGCTCTCAAGTCCTATGCTCTTTGCGAGAATGTCGAAGCATGCCTCGTGGAATGGAAAAGCTTGTTGTTCGTCCCCACTCGCGTAGCTCGTGATGTTCAAAGAACCTTCGCCCGGATCATTGGGATCTCTTCCAGGCCCTTCGATATCTAGAGAGCCATAGTCGTAGTAGCGGCCTCTACCGGATATGTAGGCTTTCCGCTCGGGATTGAGTGCCAGTGCGCGGACCCGATTAATCCATTTGACGTCGTCGAGTCCGATGAGTCTAGGATCAAAACTGTTGTCCTCAGTGTTCTCGGTGCTGGCATAATTGTCAAGACCCCACTCTTCGCTAATGTCCAACTCGGGATCTTGCGACCAGCTTCCATCATCGACTTCTTCCACAGGCTCAGGCTCGGGGGTACGGGGTCGAAGAGCGACGTCAAGAATCTCGGATGATCTCGTAAGTAAGTCGGAGTCGTTGCTATCAATCGATTGTGTGCCTTCAGAAGAAGAATCCGAGGAATATTCGTAATCCGGATCTGCATCGTCTTCCTCCTGTTCTTGCTGTTCGATGCGTTGGTTCTCAACGACCTCCGGGTCGATCGCGTCCTCCATCTCTTCGTCCTCATCGTCACTGTAGACAATCCCGCGTCCCACCTTCTTCCCAGTACGTCTCCCCATTCTTATATCCATTGCGCGATCTCGCTTGCGCAAAGACTTGCCATTTCTCGATCCAATCCTGATGGCGCCAATGTTCATGCAGATAGAGCATAAGATGCAGTAACAATCGAAGGAGCCCATGATGAATGATCAAAGATGAATAAAACACAAGCTGGTATCAGAACAAAAGGTTGGAACTCGCGATTCTATGAGAAGAAGCTTGTGGAGTATCTAGGGCGGCACGGCGGGATTATGGGGTCTTCGGATTAGGCGTGCACCCTTGGTGCAACGCCACCAACCCCACTTTGTCCAAAAACGTGGCTGCAGCCTTGCCATCCCCGGACATGATCTAGGCATCCCAAGGCAACACCGCTCAAGCTGCATCATTCACAAACTAGTTCATTGCGCAAGCCAACATGGATTAGTGCTTCCCAGAAATGCATTCGATGCCACAAACCATCCAATCACAACCCGTTACCAGGCTAGAGACACGGGATAAAATGAAGGCCGCAATGGGGTAATTCTATGATGGGATGCAGGTTGAAAAGCATCCGCCGCCGCAGCGTTTCTTGGATTCTTTCAATTCGAGAGCTCTATAGATAGGATCGTGAGCCTTGACCCATGACAACAAAAAGAAAGAAGATACCAGATTATGGTGGTAGGTATCGATAGCGGAGCCAACGAGAGCTCGGAAAAAGAACTCACGATTGTGCATCATGGAACTCATCGTCCTCCTGAGTCTCACTATCGGTCCTCCGCAGGAGATCGTCCTTTCGTGGCTCTGGTTCAGGGTTGGAATTAAGGAGTTTGCTGGGAGGCAGTTCCTTGGCGAAGGCCTCACGGTTCTCGGGTGAGATCGCACTAGGTTGCGAATAGGGCTTTTCGAGAGGTGGCATAGGTGGGTTGCTAGGATTGCTGGGGATGCTGCTGTTTTTGAAGGGCGGGGCATGAGTCGATGTTCCGTCGAAGTTGCTGGGAAGACCTACGCTCTGCTGTTCGTGTTGTGTCACTGGTTGCGACTGCACGCTTGTAGGCTCGGACGGTGCTGGCTGCAACGTTTCCGTAGACTGTGCCGACTGTCCAGCGGGCACTTGTTCCGCTGGTTGTACAGCTCCTTGTGCCTGTGGTAGATGCGCTTCACTCGCTCGCGATGGGATGTTGAATTGTTTGTCTGGCTTCTGACCCGGGAGGATCGCGTAGATCTGCAGGATCTGCTTGACGACCTCGTCAGGCGTCTTGCCATCACTACATCCTGTTAGCACGAGACGCATACAGAGGGTTTGCGGGGTACTGACATCTTTGCATTGATGATCCAGTCGAGGTCTTCTTCGCCCTCTTCGCTGCCGCCACTGCCGCCCTTTACGCGTCTGAAGAGCTGTGGGTGCCAGTCCACACCTTCGCTGTTTCTTTTCGCAGCTTCCTGCCTTTGCATGTCTTCAATCTTAGCCTTGGCATCGGTTGCGACGTCCTGGTCTCTCCGCTTCACAGCCTCGGTCACATCGTGCCAGAGCTTTTGCGATTCTCGGTCGTTTTGTTCCTCGAGAGGCCGGGCCGACGGTGGGGTATGTTTGGTATGTGCTGCATCAAACAGAAGCTCCTTTTTGCCAGTCTACAAATGGTCAGTACATGTTCTGACCTTGCAAGAGTGGGAACCTTACTGTCAGATCCTTGATGTACATCTCCTCGTTCCACTGACCCGAGAGCTCGTAGAGGTTCTTGCCGCTGGAGTCTTTGATGTAGCCACCGATAGCGTTGTAGGACCCACTGAAGTAACCCTTGGTCTTGAATTCGAGATCGGCAGTGAGACTGGTCTCGGGGCAGCGAATGTATGCGTGGTCGCCAAGCTCGTACTTCATCGTCCCGAAGAGAATACCGCGCGCGTACATGTTGGGTTGAGTGACGAAACTACACGTCGTGAGCCTCAGGTTGTGGTGTTCATCTGCTCTACTTACAATCGCTCGCCGGTGTTCAGTAGCCGCAGAACTGCGATGCCCTCCATCATACTCGCCGCGGAGTTGCCGAGGAACTTGCTTCGAGGCTTGAGGGTGCCGTCTATGCGGATGTTGTGCTCGGGGGCCATGAAGAAGTAGCTCGACTTGGGCGGGTGGTGCGACGTCTGTTCGGAGATGTAGTAGCCCTTGGTGCCGTCCGGGTAGTCCCAGTAGCCTGTGAAGATTTCACCCAGGATGGGGTTGAGCGGCTTCTTGACTCCCCTAAGTCACATCAGTTGTTGCTTGTGGGCGCAAGAAGACGGCGGAGATGCATACGGGGGCTTGATGTGCCAACCACTCAGGTAGAACTTTGTCACTGCTACGAATCGCTGTACGGGGTCTTCTACCGTGGTTATAGGGAGAAGCGTCTCCGGATGTGCCATGAAGCTGCCTGATAGTCAGCCTATGCACCCGTCGCCAAGCCTGGATGTGCTACACACTTTGTTATGCGTTCCAGCATCGATCGCGGTTCGAGGATGAAGGTGGGAAGCGTGACGCGGCTCAAGTCGGCGCCGGGTCGCAGTTGGGATATGATATGGGAGAGCATGCTGCCCTGCTCGGAATCCATGACGGTCTCGTCCTCCTTGGTCGTCTCGTCGCCGCCCTCGTGTCGTCGTGTCTCGTCTATGGAAGACCCGCGGCTACCTAAACATTCAAACTTGCATCAGCTTCGGTACGGCCGGAATTCGGGATATGACGCACTGGTGAGCGACGACCGCCGGTGTTTGGAGACTATAGGTAGGTGCGGCATGGTGGATACAGGCCGCAGAGGGAGAGAAAGGGAAAAGTGGTGGAGGTGAGGCAGGCAGAAGCAGGCAGCGAAGTACCGGCAGAGGATGTCTTGGTGCTTCGGGTGCCGGCGAGGGTGAGCTTAGTCGCAGCAATGACGATGGGGGCTTCACAAAAACTAGCGACCCCGCGCGTTGGACCTGTTTAGCAGCAAACTGTAAACATCAACAACGTTCTACCGTGGAAGGGCGTGCAGTGAGGGGTCCAGGGCGCCAGGCGACACAACATGCAGTCTTTTGAGCATCCAGCTGACTGGCACTAATATAGCGATCGCCAGGCTGTGTTCTGCAAGCCTGCTGCCCCATGCCCCGCAGTCGGCACATGCCAAAGCGCCGCCATACATACCAAGTACAGTACGCGACACGCGCATGCGGCACGGCTCGGAGCACGACTATTCTTCCGAACACCCAGGACCTGCGATTCCAGGAACAGTGCCACCAGATACAGTGGGGGCCGGCCCGGATGTCGCGCGATGATAATCTTGAATGCTACGCGTCCGCATTCCGGGAGAACCGGGCGCGAGAAGGATTCATGGCGATGACGTCGCTATCAAGGGGTGCACATCGCCAAAGATCTGACAAGACACCTTAGATTCGATTACTATCAGACATTCATGACTGTCGTCTAGTCCAGCACACTCTCGCCGGCCTTGCTTGCATCCTTCGCGCCCTGGTCCTGAGTCCGCTGGACTTGCTCCTTGACCCGCTGGACCTGTGCATCGTCCTTGGCTATAACCGTCACTCCAACCTTCTCGTACTCCTTGTGGACCTCCTTCATTGCCGACGAATCGACCGCCCTTGTCGCATCGCCAACTACCCACGTTTTGAAGCCCTCCTTCTGTGCATCGATCGCAGTGTACTTGACACAGTAGTCGCCTGCGAGACCGACGACAAAGACGTCGGTGATTTCAGCCTTGCGCAGTGTCTCTGCAAGATCGCTCTTGGCCACAGATGGGCGCTTGAACGGATCCGCGAACGCAGAGTACATCTCCACGCGCTTGTCCTGGCCCTTCTCGACTATGTGGTCCACCTTGCTGACGTCCAGTTCTGGCAGCAGCTCTGAGCCTTTAGTGCCCTGCACGCAGTGGTCTGGCCATAGCCGTGTTTCCTGTGTCTCGTCTGGATTGTTCGGGTTCTTGATGGTGAAGGTGGATTCGAAAGGCTTGTTGTTCGGCGGAGAGTGGTTCGAGGCGAAGGAGACGTGGTCTTGGGGATGGAAGTCTTTCGTCGCGACTTTGAGAGCAAAGGGATATGTGAGGAACTCGTTGATGGTCGGGACGATGTCGCGTCCACCTGTTACTGCGAGCGCTCCGTTCTAAGCTTGTTAATTGGGAGGCAGCCGTGCAAATGGTGGGTGCTTACTGGCGGGCAGAAGTCTTCCTGTACGTCGACGATGACGAGCGCTGGTTTGAAAGACATGCTGGGTAAGTAACCAAAATTATCAAATCAGTGCGTCAGTGGATGAAGATGTCTAGAGTAGTCCCAAGGTTGAGAGCGGAGTATCGAAGGCTGTAAGGTAGAGCGGTCGTGCGCAGGACCGTCTTATAAATGATCACCAATGTCTAAGATCAAAGCAGCGTAGGTCATGATGCTGCAGGTGCATGGCGCAAGCCGTAGAAACGAGCCGTTGATAAATCAACGATCGCAGACCACGAGGCAGAAGCTTACCAGCAGCGTCACCAGCGTTCTGTGGCTTGCCTTACCTAATCACAGCGCCAAGCCGTCTGCCGTCGGCTCGTCAATTCACGACTGACGAACATCACCAGCTCGATAACCACGCCCACCCTCTCCACTCCACCCCAATCGTCCCACCATGTTCGTCCAGCGCTCTGCTATCGCCGCAGCAAGGCGTGTGGCCCCACGCGCCATTGCGACCCGCCGCACCTTCACCACCACCTTTGCCCGCTGTATGTTTCGCGAGGAGCTATCGTACGATGTGCCATTGACACCACAGCAGGGGAGTCCACCGAGAGCAAGGAGGCCAAAGAGAGCAACATTGCGCAGAAGGAGACCGGTCACTCGGCCAACTCCCCCAGCGTCCTCGCAGGCTTCAAGAAGCTCGACCGTATGTTGCGCCCGCACTTCGTCATCCGCATTGCCGCGGCTACGATATGCCAAAACCATCAATTGCTGACGAGGTCACTTCTGTAGAAATCAAGACTGAGGAGGACCTTCTGCCCCCTGGTGCGCAGCCCGGTACCGTTCCCACCGATGCCGAGCAGGCGACCGGTCTTGAGCGTCTCGAAATTCTCGGAAAGATGCAGGGTATCGATATCTTCGACATGAGGCCATTGGACGCCAGCCGTCTCGGTACGTGAAGCCGCCCCCGGAAATATCAGGAAGAAAGAGCTTGCGCGAGTTT